GCAGCACAGGGCACCAGGCAGAGGGAGGGGGAGCGGCCGCTTTTCCCCTGCTCTGAGCACGAGCTCATTCGCCAGAAACTGCTGCTCAGCCCACAGGCAAACGCAGGGTCGGGGCTGCGCGCTGCTCCCCACCTGTACTGAGGGGCTGGGGGACCCAGCAGCAGCCAGGCGGGAGTGCGGGGCCTGCACCGGTGCCAGCAGGGCCCAGAGCGGGGCAGCAGGAGCACCTGGTCCCTGCCGGCATTAGCTCTATGGAGCTGGGTCAGCTCCCCCTTCTCCCTGCTGGTGCAGCCCAGCCCATGCCCTGCGCTCCTACCACCCCACCGGCGGTGACCCCCACGGTCCTCTCCAGCCTCCCTCCACCCCTTCCCATCTGAATTTCCCATGCCGGCACAGCCCCATGGCCCCAGGCCAAAAGCCCCTGCTAGGCAGGGGTTTCCAGCTGGTGGGGCAGGCCCTGCTGTTGCAGAAGGCTACCGGGGCTTCCCCTGGGTCCTACTGCCCCGGGTTCCTGTCATCTTTGACAGGAGCCCGGGGCAGATAAATATTAATTTTCTAAATATTTTAGGGGCCCTGCAGGCTGGATAGACTGACTTGGTGGGCCCGATGCGACCCGCAGACCATATTTTGCCCACCCCTGAGTTAATTGTTCTCTGATACTAGTAAGTATTGCTCTTAATGAAATAAGCAGAGACCTTTTTGAGTGGCATGGAAAGTGTTCTGAAGACACCCCCAAGGACCTGACCCTATTTCTATTGAAATCACAGGAGAAACTATGGTGTTGAATAATTTAACTGCATTGGGGTCCAGAAAGGTTTTTTGTTTGGCTTGGTTTTTGGTTTGGTTTGTTTCTAAAGGATTTCCATAACTTCAACCAGCACTTCTCAAGGCAAAGCATAACAGCACTAAGTTTGTAAAGAAAGCACATACACTTATGTGTAATCTGAACTTCACACAAAGTACAGAATTGGAAAAGAGTTGCTACTAGTTTACCAGAGAGATCAAAAGATCCCAGCTCTGAGGCAGGGAATGTACAGATTAGTTCTGCAGCACGTTGCACACGGGTGGCTCCTGTACTTCCATGCAAGCCTATTGCCTTGCAGTTCCATGTAGGCCCGAAGAGTCTCTTCTCCCCCTCCCCCCCATTTCCCCTTGCATCAATGCAAGATTGGTTTCGAAGCAGAAGGGAGTGCCTCAAAACAAGGGCAAGAGTTAGAGCTAAAACTAAAGTTACTTTGATGACAGTGTTTCTTTTGCTGATGTGGCTTCTATAAGGTGGGGGAAGAGTAATTGGGATGAGATCTCTCAACCTTATATTAATGTTTAATGGTACTAGACAGAATCATTTAAACCTCTGGTTTTCTATCACAAATTCTTTAGTTTATTTGAAATTCCAATTTGCTTCAGTGTTGGGGCTATTTTCTCTCCAGTGTGCTCGTCTCTAGGTCACTGACTTTAGTGGAGTGATCCTAGGGAGAAGTTTGGGCTTCTGTTGTATATTTTCTTTATTTTCCAGTTCAATGGCATGGCTCTGCGAGTGTCTCTGAAGTGCTCGCTGTGAGCGTAGCACTATTCCAAGTACCAACTGAAGATGGTACCTTCCCCAAGAAGTATCCAAAGAGGATCAGACCATTGCAAGTGCATCAATGTAAGGTTAGCTTTAATGATTCCTTTCTTGGGAGTGTCATAGCTCAGTCTCCATGAGGGACTTTAGTACTGGTTGGCATATGAGAAACAGGAGGGTAAGTTATGCCCTTGGGAGTGATTTGGTTTCAAAACAGAGGTGAGGTCTATTGGGATGCAATATACTTTTTCTTCAGGTCATGGGAAAGCCCCCAGCAGGTTGGCTTGAATTACCCAGAGATACAGGCAAAGCTTCCAACTAGGCCTACAGAAGTATTGGAACAGGAAGTTGTGTTATGGCTGGGATGGATGCAGCTGGGTCTCATTAAATTGTGGAGTCCATACAAGAGGGAGGAAGCAAAAAATGAGTAACCGAGGTGGAGGAGGGGGCAGGTTGTGCCAAAGTAACCTGGTAACACTGGGACCTTCTGGAACACCCTTTCCTGTTTGCTGCCAAGTAGCGTGTCCCACGACTTGCACGGATGAGGTTGACAAAGGGGTATCAAGGTCAACACAGCTGACTGAACAGCAGAGAGGCTTTTCTCCATTATCTTTATGTAATCTGTGCTGAAGTATTGGGTCAAACAAGGCAAGTAAAAAAATAAACTTTCATAAGTAAAGCCTGATATCCTGCTAGCAGACACTATATAAATTACAACTGAGAATGCAGGGCAGAAGTGAGGTGAGAAGGCAGCTTTCACCAGGCATAAGGAGGCTGCAATCTGATGGCTTTCTAGGTGCTACCACAGTATAAATGTAGGAGTTAGCAGTAGAAACTTAGGTAAGAAATAGGGATGCTGGACACGTAGCTTGTTTGGACCTATGTGCAAAATTTAAATGACTAAATTATAATATCAGTGCCTTTTGCATGAGAATGTAAACTCATGACTGAGACCACCTGAAACATAACAATACAGTTAATCCCATCTCTGGCTTTGGTATCAAGTTCCCCCCCTTCCCCAACTAGTCTAAACTGATTATGAATAAGCTCCCCTTTCAAAGTGATTACCTCTCTCTTGTTATTACATTTCTCGCCAGTCAGGTGCCTGTGCCAGTTGGATAAATATTTTGGGATTTGCCCTGTTATAACAATGACCTCTACAGTGCCTTACAATTCATAGTCTAAAGTGCTCAGTCCAAGTGATCAAGCCCTACTGCAATTAATCAAGTGGTATACCTCCAGTTTCGGGTGTTGGGCTCGAGCAATCAAGCCATACTATAGTTAAGCAAATGATAAACCTCCAGAGCGATCAAGGGTTTTGTGCATGTCAGTCTTGCCCACAACAACCAGAGATAGATCCAAAAGTGTAGCATTTAGAACACAACTGTCAGCTGTACAACTCCACCCTGTCAGCTTTATCTGGACCCGGATCTTCAACCCATCAAGAAAATATGCTTTGAAGAAACAGTATAAAGCAAGACAGAATTGCCAACAAGGTGTGTGCAGTCCAGGAAAGACCAAGAAGCCATCCTGCCACCCAGCCAACAAGTGAAGGATCCACACTTTGAGGGCTGTACAAGAACTGCTTCTTGCCTGCATTGGGTAAAGATCTCTTTGGAGCTAAAGCAATACTAGGACTATTAGCTCACTTTATATTAGGAAAGAGTCTTTTTCTGTTACTTAGTTTTGTAGCTTGTTAGTAGTTATTAAAACTAGCTTTCCTGCTATTTATCAGCTGAGTGTTGTGTCAATTCATAAAGCACTGGGTTAAAAATTCAGTTTCTAGGTGAAATAGGGAGAGGAAGACAGATGAGAGAAGGACAGACTACAAGAGTGAGCTGCTACAGAAGCAAAAAAACCACTACAGTGAGCTTTTTGTTTTTCAGAACACGGAGCTGAGTCCATTGTTGGTGTAACTCAGTAAAGTCTTTGAACTGAAACCAGAACTGAATTTAACCCACTTGGAAGTGATTCTAATTCAACATGGATTTTAGATGGGAAATGGGCCTAATACAATTTGCTGTAGAGATTCTGAACTGCTGATCAATACTAATGCTAAATAAATGTCTCACTTTAATGGGGTCAGCAGCATATTGAAGAACATTCATACATAATGTTATTGATCAGCAACCCAAATGTCCCACAGGGAACTCTAGACAGACAGGCACAAGACCTGATTGTGACCTTGTGTAGGCCTCTCTAAACCAGGCATAATTCCAGTGATATTTCTGCCTGTCCATATTGCTGCTTTCTTGCAACTCTGTTGTTTCTGACTTGATTGTGTGGAGGCTGAGGGGTTGGTGAGCTGAGGTGGCCTAACCCTGACCTTCTTTGACTGAGATTGGTAGAAATGTGAAAGTGAATTGAATTCAAGCTGTAATCTGACTGGCTGAAGTGTGATGCAAGGACCCATTCCTCATTTCTCAACACATGTGCATGTGATGTGAGGACCACAGTAATGCTTTGTATCATGTATCCCCCTATGCAGTGTTAATGATACATAAGTAGGATTGTGGCCCAGTGGCTTCTGAGAGAGGAGCTTGTGTTGACTTAATCCTGTTCCAAGTAATTCAATGTCCACATTGCAGATGTCAACCTTGTTAGCATTCCTTGCAAAGAGTCCTGGGATTGAATGGGTGTGGGGAATGAAATGATCTCTGACCTCTATGGGTCATCCGTTTAAAATGGGTTTAAGAGATTTTAGAAGTTTAGCAGTCAGTGCAAGGGATGGGGAGACAAAAAGAAGGATTAAGTGTATAGAGCTGTCAATCTGGCACTTTTCACGAGCACTAAATTCTTACACACTAAAAATTTTCAGGATAAATGTGTCAGATTTAAGTTTTCCCAGATGAAATTGGCGGGGCGGAGGGGGAAGGAGGGGGAAAACCAACCTAGTATGATGGACGGATTCACTACACAACCAAAGACAGATTCAGTGTAAGCTTTGAGAGAAACTTGTAGGCTCTGAGAGCACTATACTACTTTCTGTTGAATTGCTTTAATATGCATCCTTTTCCATGCACTCTGCCTATCGAGCAAATCGCCCATTGACCTTTCCAATATATTCTCTAGTTTTGATGTCTTTTGTAATTTCTATCTGTGTAGAGCCATCCTTGACAAGCGTCGCTGGAACAAACTCAAAAGATTGCTTTAAACGATGCCTAAATAATTAATTGGGCAGCCTAACTGAATACAGAAATCCTGCAGTCGCTCTATTTAGGACGAGATTATGCTAAAACTCTGTAGCCCAAAGAAAAGGGTTATTTTCTTGGTCAGTTGAGTCAGATAGTGTCAGTAATTGGAGGGGAAGAAGGGATAGGCCATATTTGAAATGAGAAAGGCCAGGCCTGAGAGAAGAGCAGGCCGAAAGTAAGAGCTCAGAATAGAAGATGAGCTCTCTGTGGAGTCATCTTAACACAAGTTGCAGACACTATTGCTGATGCTTTCATTATTTTAGCCCCCTGGCTACAATAACAGCACCTTTTGTCTAGCCTAAAAGTAGCAGAATAGTATTTTATGCAGCTCAGGGCATGTGTTGCCAGGGAGAGCAGGCAGTGTTCTTTAGCATCTCAGATACAGAGTGAAAAAGGAGCACTGGGCTCCATGCCCAGCCTGTACTGGCCTCAGGCCCAGGAGCAGGGTATATACTTTGGGCTAAATCAGTCCCTGGTGTAACTCAGTCAAAATTGTTGGCGCATAAATTTGGCCTCCTATTTTGAAGAATATTGGAATGGAGCCAAGCCAATGGACATGGGTTTTTGGTGAAATAAATGCAGAATGCAATTTTCTAGTAAGTTCTGGGGCATTTCTCTAAACATTTGGGGCCAAAATTTCCTCTCATTTACCTCTGTAAGTCAGAAGGAAGCCCAACAGCTTCAGCAGAGTCTCTCCAGCTCTGTGGTAACATAGGTGACATGGGAATTTATCTCCTTGTCTCTTAACATAGGTGGGACAGATTTCATCGGTGATAATGCACTTCCCTCCCTTCCACTTGTGCAGATGCCCAGAAGGGTTGGGGCTCAGTCAGCAGTGTGTGTGGTATGAAGTATGCAGTGCATGGGAAAAACAGATGAGAGGATTCACAGAAAGATAGGAAAAACCTGTCACTGCAGCTGAACCAAACAAGGAGTGCTTGGCAGCTCTGTTCTGCAGTCCCACTGCAGGTTTTCATCACAATGTTGTTCAATAAGCCGGCTTTTGCCATGAAACTGATGTTGACATTTCAGTATGTGTTGTGTTTGTGTACAGTACAGTGGTTTAGGAGATTTATTTTGCAATGTCAAAGTCACATACATGCACTAAATTGCTAATGAAGAGTGCAAACAGGAAGACTTGAATGACAACATCCTCAATGTATCTAACATACAGTCAGGAGGCAGATGGGGGGGGGGGGGGGGGGGGGGCACGCCCCATAGCAGCAGCAGGGGGAGGAGAAGGGGGGGAGGGGGGGGGGGGGGGGGGGTAGTGGCACAGTTACCCTTTTGGATTGGAGTGCAACACAGGAACACAGGGATTTTTAAAGTTCCTAAAGCAGGTGAAAATCCCCGCCTTCCCCTTTGTGCTCAGAAGCATGTCCCCCCTCCCCTCCCACCTACTGCTGCTGATTTCCCTATTGTCCTGAGAGTGAGAGAAACTTCAGAACCACTCCTGCCTCAACCCAAAGCAGGACTGTGTGGGGACTGGGCTCCATTGGGGATGGGGACTGCAGCAACAGCATGGCAGACAGTATTTTTCCCTTCCCTGCCCAGTCCACTAGGAGCAGGTCTGGAGAGGGGGAACCCCCTCCCCATCTCTGCTGCTGCTGTCCCTGTCCTCAGTTGAGCCTAACCCCTGCACACTCCAGCTGGGGCAGACAAGAGGAGTTCTGGAGCTTCCCCTGCCCTGGGACAGCAGGAAAGCAGCAGCAGCATGCACAGGAGTGTGTGTGGGAGGGGAGGAAGGTGGAGGTGATGTGCCTCTAGCAGAAAGGGATTTTCATCCATTTTGGGGACTTAAAAAGTCCCCTGAGATCTTACAGTATGGTTTGCTTGCACCAGTTTGAAAGAGAAAGCTGGGAGCAGAGGTGTGCAGCCACACCTATAGAGCGGGTTGCTGCTTCCACACCCCTCTTTGGGGAGTCCTGCATCTGCCCCATGTATAGCAACAATGTGGACTTACCCATATCTCCTTGACACATTCAGCTTTTCTGTAAACTACTTTTGGAGTGTCATTCAGGCTCCACGTCCATTCTTTCCTTGGTCTCTGCTGGGTCTGTCAGATAATTTATGCTGGATCTCACAATGTAGGTACCTGCCTGTTGGAACCAATCCAACAGGTAACCATATAGCCATCATCTCATGATAGACTTTCAGTCTCTAGTGGCATGGAAATAAAAATCTCCACAGCTAATAATAATTTTTGAGCCATCTAGTCTCCTTTACACTCAGTTTAAAACAAAAATCATTTTCCTTAGAATTTTGGCTCTACAGTATATATTTGTGGACTCTAGTTAAAGATTTTGCACTCAGCTCAGAGAATGGAGAATGTTGGGTCTACCGTAGCTCTGATAAGAGGCAGATTGTAAAGAATACATGTCATTCGTGATTTTGGCACGGCAACAGTAGTTTTACTCTTCAGTTAACTATTAATATACAGTAGTACCATCTGAGTGCACAAAGTACTGTTCGATAGAAGGTTCTATCCTTCTTCCTTCCAAATCCACAAGCCTTGCATGTGATATTTTGTGGCTGTGAAGTGATGCATCACAGGATAGCTGGTGCAAGGAGGAAGGGCGAGGAGAATGTGTGGAGGAAAGAAAAATTGTGTTTAAGTCGTATTCAGTTTGAAGAGCAGATTGGAGGTTAAGGGACCATTTGGAAGAAAGATGAGAATACAGTATGAGAGAGACTTTGGTGGATGAGATGCAGCTTTAAGAGTCATCAGCGTAGAGGCGGTATCTGAAGATACAGAAATGGATTTGGTCACCAAGACAAAATGTGGGCACATGGGCAGGATTAAGTTCTGCGCTCCAGCAGGTAGGGAGAAGGAACAATGACCTGGGTAAGAAGAGAGCCACTTGCTGTAAGTTCACCTTTTAAAACAACAGAAAAGTTACTTTGCTTAGACCAACTTTGCACTCACTTGCCACCTGACCTTTTTAAAATATTACCTCACTTGCAAATAGACTCTTTGTTCACCAGCTTGGCTGCCCCTTCTCTCTGGTCCAACGGGAAAGAATTCCCTGTTTCTCAAGTCAGTCTTCTAGGGAGTCCCCTATAAGAGTAATTGCTACCTGAAACATTTACATCTGTCCACAGATCTACTGCAAAGGAGAGACCCACACTGCCAGGGGCCAATCACTGACAGTGACCTATAAAGCAATTAGAGGGTTTGGCACCAGCATCCACCAGAGTTTTTTAACTAGTGGAGGAACAGAGACAGGCATACCTGACCTACAGGTTTCCTGGAGCCAGCTGAGTAAACAGACATGCTTGCTGGCTGAGCAAGTAAAACAGGACTCCAGAACAACCTTGGATGTAAGAGAAAATGGTGTCATTTGGTTTAGCGTTTCTCAACAAGAGCAATAGGAAGAGAAGGTAGTGTCAATGAGCCGTGATCTGCTGGCTACAGCAGTCCAGTCCAGTCCAGTATGGGTGCAGGCATAAAGCATAACTACTATGGAGTAATTTACCACCGTTTTACTCCTATGGTAAATGTATTCCAAAGCAAAGAGCAGC